GATAACATAATCATATCCCGCTATTATAAACAATAAATATTATACTCTGATGTTGCATGGAAAGAGATGTAAAAAATAGTCAATAATGATGTAAGCTTTATTCTCTCATTTGTGATTCTGATGGAAAAATATGGATTTTCGGGTTCTCCCTTAGGGTGTGCTCGACGGAACTGCGTAATTTGGTGTCCTCCCTTGAGTACTTAGTGTCTAATGGAAGATAAGTACTCCTAGGAGGTATTAGATTAGGCGGTTCTGCCACAATATAGCCCTCAAGAAAATATATATCTATGGCAGTTGTGAGTTCCATTCCAAGTTGAAATCCCTATGTTTGGTTTTGGTAATTGAAATAACTAGTGAACTAACCTTTTGCGAAGTGTTGTTCAAGTGGTTGAGTCCACACCAAGGTGGTAAATAATGCTTGGGGATGGATGAAGGGTTATCAATCCAATTGGAGCAAGCTCAGTCATGAAAAAAGAAGAAAGAGAAAAACAAAACCCTATGGTGATAAAAGCAATGGTATATGCTAGGGATTTTGTTTGTTGGCCAAGACATATAGTAGAGTGCATGGCGGGTTTAGGATAGATAGTTGTACTATTACGTGGTGAGCTTAAATAGCAAACATGGTTATCTAGTGCCACTAGGTGTTGATTTACATGCATTTGCATTAGATCTAGTGATGTGGTGAGTAGCAAGAGAAAATGTTTTGAAAATACTTTCAAAAATTCTAACTTGACGCTTAGCTGTTTGGTAAAATATTTAGGACTTAGCACGCTTGCAAAGATGATTGAAGAATACATAAAACATCATAATCTATAACTTTCATGTTATGACTTTTGGAGTTTGAAGAATCTAAGATACTCAAAACAAGCAAGCAAATTACCTGAACTTTTCTGACAGCAGAACAACAGTAGCCGACTAAAACATATATAACTAGAGATATACTGATCCAATATCTATGATTTTTACCAATTTGGAAAACTTATAAAATTCCATACAACTTTCACGTAGATCATTCTACGAGATTTTGGACTTAAGAATCGTAAAACTGAATGCATCTAAAACTATCCAAAAGTCTAACAGCACAAATGCATCACCAAACAACGATTATATATCCCAAACCAAAACAGCTATAAAGGTTTGCTGAAAGAAAGGTATTGAAGTCTGCTATTGAAATGTATTTTTCTAGGATTTTTGGGCACATAAAAACAGTAAACATCACAAAAACAACAACAGAACAATATGAGAAACAACATGCCTTAATTATGAGATTAGAACTATAAACCCATCTACTAATTCATCGATTTCAGTAAACCCTAGCATGGATTCTCTGTCAAACAGTAGATAAAAGCGAGATCTTACCACCCACAGCAAGAATGATGAAGATCCACAACGGTTAAGTTCATGTTTCCCCTTCTCCCTCGCGTTAAACTTTGACACTACATGTCGCATCAGCTTGATCTACTCTAACCATGACATTGCCATCAAGAATAACGAGGAAAAACATAGGATTGAGGGCAAAACATAAAGGGAAGAAGATGACTAACTGGTCCTAGAGGAGAAACAGATAAGGAGGCAAACGACGGCAAGCCCTAATTCTCTCCCTCTCTTCTCTTCTCTATTATCTAGTCCTCTCTTCTCTTATGAATACGAGAGGGCGACGGCTCATCAAGGGATATAGGTATTAGGTTTTACAGGATAGGAAAAAGGCTTGGCAGCAAGACACAACCGCGTAATGTTAGAGTAACGTGATTGTTACAACATAATTATTGTTCATGGTCTTTTTTCCCTTCAATCTTCCAACGGCATTAGCTTCTTGATCCAAACTCTGAATAACGTGCATGAGTAGTCAAATGGAATGCCTTAGATGAGTTTTATGCATCTATAGTCTATAATGAACCATGCGAGCAACAAGTAAAAGATTTGCTTTTTTGCCATTGATTAAAACTTCTATTTAACTATTTACCGTTTAGCGCTTCCTAACACAAAACGTATTTTGGGTGTGTTACACCTAAGCTTAGAGGCAGCTGGCTCAGCCATCTCTACAAAGCATCTATAGTTGCCTCTAAAAGGATTGGTTGTAGTAGCACGCACTTCCCTTTTCATAGCACCTAGCCTCTAAAAGGATTCGTTGTAGTAGCACTCACTTCCCTTTTCATAGCGCCTCTAGAGATGACTTCTTTCTGTCGCTGGCCCATCCATGTGGAAGCTCCTTTCGATGAAGATTGGTTTTGGTCCTCAGGTTCTCTACAAAAGTAAACATCTCGACTTGTGCCAATGGTAAGATCATGGTTGTGGGAACGAAGGAGATGGCCATACGAGGGTTGTGGACCCCAACACCCGTTAACTAGTTTCATGGGAATCTTTTTCCTCAATTTAGTGGAGCATTTAGTCGATCTATCTTTAGTTTGACTATATTTCGATAAATATTTAGCATTATTCATCATGGAATATATAATATACCTATTTAGAATAACAATTCTTGATATTGTCTTTTTTAAACTAATATAGTCAAATTTAAAATAATTTGAGAATTTATAAAGATGGGCTCAAGCTTTTGCACATAACTGAAAGACACATGACGATCGAAAGATAGATGGTTGGGATCATGGTAATAATAAAAGATACTCCAGCAAGCTAGTACGAGCTACAGTAGCTCTACACCATCAGCATCCATGCCTGGTCGGAACTCAGAAGCATTGAATTTGTCACATGATCAACTGTACTACTCCTACATTCCTGCAGCGGTGTAGCGTCTCCAGGAAACAGGGCATTTACCCGAACACCAACCAAGAGTACTGAACATCACAGCTGGCATCTCATTGAACGCACCACCAATCAGTAGTCCCTTTTTTTTTTTTTTGAAGTTGGAGTTGTAGAGTGTCCAACTCCGGTCTCCGGCAGCCTGTCTGTGTCTCAAGCCTTTAGCCAATTGTAGCGGTGGTGCAGCCTTCTGCATTACTCTTCCTACTCGTACTGGATTACTGGATGCGTCAGCACATGACGTGTGCAGCTGATATCATATTCATGCATATAATATAATACTACTAAGGCCCTGAATGATTGCAGCCGCTAAATTTAGCCCCTCCTAAATGGTTTAGTTCCATTTAGTTACTCCAGAGTAATCTCATTTTGTCATAATTTTCCGATTAAAATATAACTAAATGGGACTAGATATAGAAGCTCCTGACTTAACCAACACCCCCTAAGTAGAGTTAAGCCGCCTCCTCTAATCACCGGAGTTAGGGCAGTTTATTTGATGTGAATGATTGAAGCTGAACAGGTCAGAGAGTGGAAGGTGAACGTGCCAACATTTGAAATAATTGCACTTGGGATGTAGATAATGGCCCTGTTCGCTTAAACTTATCAGCCTGACTTATCAGTCATGATATAATATTTTTCTCTCACAACAAATTAGCGAACAATACTTTCTCCATTCCAAATTATAAGACATTCCAAGAATCTTGGAGAGTCAAAGAATTTCAAGTTTAACCAAAATTATAGAGAAAATTATGAAGATTTATGATATCAAATAAGTATACTATGAAAATATAATTAATAAGGAATATAATGATACTTACTCCCTCTGTCATGTAACACACTGCATTTTAGAAATTTTAAAACAAATTAAGAGAGAACATAAAAGACGTATGTACCTTCGTTTTATTTTCTAATCAGACGCTATCATCAATGTGATTTATTGTGATTGGCTGATAATTGGAAAGTATTTAATGTAAAATTGGTTTTTTCTTCTAGAATGCATTATATTTGAGGACAAATTTTGAATCCTAAAATACACTATATTACAGGACAGAGGGAGTAGTTGACATCATAAATGTTATTATTTTATCATATAAATTTGTTCAAACCTGAGATGCTTTAACTCTTCAAGACTCTTGAATGACTTATAATTTAGGTTGAAGTACTTTTTAACCCGGCTTATCCGCCAAACAAAGCAGAACGAGCAGGGACATGTTTATACATCGCGTGCAGCTCGATCATGGAATGTGGTGAACACAAAATACGCAAGTCTTCTCTGATGGGTGGTCATATAGATTAAGCAAAAATCCAGGTAAGACAACAGCTAGCTCTCCTCCTTCGGCCTGGCCTGAAAAAGATGTTGGGTTAAGAAGCTTCCATGATGCTTATAATTCAACTAGGAGATTCATATATATGCTGTATTTTAAGAAACCCCTACAGTTCTTCGGCTGCAAAACTAAAATACGATAGAAAGAAAATGGTATTTTAAGAGAAGGAAAAAATAGAATTCGGAAATGGGAACCAAAGCTTATCAGTTCTGAACTGAAAGCTGGGCATGCACAGAAACACAGGTTGTTTTGCTTGTTCCCACTGCCACGTAGGCCATAGGAATCTCAGGAACACAGAGCCCATCGGGAAGGAGAATATCATTGATGCTCGTTAAATTGCTACGCAAGCTAGGGAGAAAGTAGAGGAATGGAATATATAAGGGGGTGTTTGTTTTCGTCTCTTAAAATTTAGTTTATGTCACTCGACTATAGTAAACATATTTGATACTATTTAAAATATTAAATATAGATTAATTATGAAACTAATTATACAGATTGAGACTAATTTGTGAGACGGATCTATTAAACATAATTAGTCCATGATTTGATAATTTGGTGCTACAGTAAACATGTGCTAATGATAGATTAATTAGATTTAATAGATTCGTCTCACGAATTAGTCACGACTTCAATAATTAATTTTATTATTAATATTCGAACACTCAATACGATATTAATTTTATTATTAATATTCGAACACTCAATACGATAATACAATGTGACCCCCTAACTTTTATATAAAATAAGGCGACGACCCGATCGAGTCATCATGCAATTATTAGGACACATCAGAAGCGAGCACCATGTTATATTTTGCCGGCTGTGCCGATAAGACCGACTAGCATTTCCTCAAGGGTCAAGGCGTCTTCTGCCACTGCTACCAGGCCCGTCAGTCGTCACCAGCCAGATAAGCCAATGGCGTCCAACAACAAAGTAGCTTCCTCCCAGAGTCCAATGGCGTCCGGCGGCGCACAAAGCCACTCGCACTCCCCCCCTGTGGCTGGGGCTGTGGCTGATGAAGCTTTGGGCAGCAGCAACAACAACAACAAGCCTGCTGCTAAGCCTCCTTCAGGTTCCTCCACGGAGTACCAGCTGAGGAAGTACCTGCTGCTGCTGGCCACTCTGGTTGCGACGGTGACGTACGTCGCCGGGCTGAACCTGCCGGGGGGAGCCTGGCAGGAGGACACCGACGACGGCCCGCACCACCACCACGCGGGCGACCCGATCCTCCAGTACGCGCACCGCCACCGCTACCTCACCTTCTACTACTGCAACGCCACCGCGTTCGCCGCGTCGCTCGTGGTCAGCCTCCTCCTGCTGGTCCTGGATGGCAAGAACACGGGCTGGTGGGAGGCCCTGCTGCGGGTCGTCATGGTGCTCGATCTGCTCGGCCTCATGGGCGCCTACGCCGCCGGGAGCTGCCGGGACAAGTTCACCACCATCTACTCGGCGCTGCTGGTCTGCGCCGTCTTCGCCTAGGTCGTCGTCGCTTTCGTCTGCTACCTCTTCTCCAAATACGGATGCTCATGCAAGCTGGCGCGGCAGCTGCTCAGGAAGCAAAGCGATGTTCATGAGCGTCGCCAAGAACTGCATGAGGTCCTGATGCTGCTGGCCACCTTCGCGGTGACCATCACGTACGTGGCCGGGCTGAATCCGCCGGGCGGCTTCTGGGGCGACACCAAGGACGGGCACCAGATGAGCGACCCGGTCCTGATGGAGCACTACTCCAGCCGCTACCAGGCGTTCTACGTCTGCAACACCACCGCGTTCGTCGCGTCCCTGCTCATCATCATCCTCCTCGTCGACAAGAAGCTCACAACCAAGCTCTCTGTGCGGCTTGTGGCTCTGTATGGTCTCACCATCACGGCGCTCCTGGGCCTCATGGGGGCGTACGCCGCTGGGAGCTGCAGGCAGCTCGACGACACCACCTACGTCATCTGCCTCATCGCCGGAGTTCTTGCCTACATCTTCCTCCAGGTGGCCGTCACCAAGGCCATCGGAATGAAGCAGGATCGTTCCATTCCAAGCCTGCTTCGCAGTTGCTTCGACAGATCGCAGGACCAAAATAAACCAGATCAGAGCAGCCGGTATGTATCTGCTCGATTACCAGCAGCAGTAAGGAGTTGGTTGGTTGCAATTTAAGAGTTAATTAGGAATTGCTGGGAGCACTAAGGAGTTGCTGCTTTGACAGATCATCAGAAGACCAAATTCCACCGATCAAAAAAGAAGAAGACCAAATTCCACCAGATCAGAATCAGATCAGCAGCAGGTACGTATTAGTATGTGCACAACTACCTCCTCCCTCTCAATCTCCATTTCGGGCACGTTTGGAACGCGCAGGAGCATAAAACAAAGGAATAGAAAAAAGAACACAGGAATTGAATAATGCGAAAAATAAAGAAGCAAAGTTTCAGTCTTTAGAACTTGAGAAAACATTACAGGTATTTTTCCTTTAGGTTTCCTTGGATATTTTTTTCTAGTTTCGTGAAGCGAAGGTTAGTCTTTCCTTTGGAAAGGAATACATATTTCCTTTGTTCCAAACAGTAAGTTGAAAAAACTTTAATAAGAAATCCGTTTCTTTGTTTTTCTTTTGCAAATCCTCCGTTCCAATCAGGCCCTTCTAGCTTGCAATTTAACTAACTCTTTGTTAATATATGTTGCTTGCAATTGCCTGCAGGGGCATAAATCAACACGAAGGCGGCGGCGAAGCAGTGGAAATGGATCCTTCAAAAAAAGCACTGGAAAAGGATCCTTCAAAAGAAGCAGTGGAAAAGGCGAAACAGTCTCTTGTCATGTTGCTTGCAACCCTTGTGGTGAGCATCACTTACAGTGCAGGACTGGACCCACCAGGTGGCCTGTGGCCCGACACCAGAGACGATCACAAGATCGGTGACCCGATACTCCTGACCACACACCCCACCCGGTACAAGGTGTTCTTCTACAGCAACTCGGCGGCGTTCGTGGCGTCCCTCATCGTGATCCTCATGGTCCAGAGCAGATTCCTGCTCAAGGGCCACACGCTGGAGGCGGCCATGATCCTGGACCTGTTCGGCCTGATCAGCGCGTACGCCGCGGGGTGCTGCAGGGACGAGACGACCTCCATCTACGTGGTTGCCCTGGCCGGGATCGTCCTGGTCTACGTGGTCATCCACATCGTCCTCTTCACGCTTCCAGACCACAAGGACAGCAACCCGGACGCGGAGAAGAAGCTGGAGAACAGGCGCGAGATGCTGCTGCTCCTGGCCATCCTGGCGGCGACGCTCACCTACCAGGCTGGGCTGACGCCGCCGGGGGGCTTCTGGTCAGAAGATGAAGATGGGCACCGCGCGGGCTACCCGGTGCTCCACGACCACTACCGGCCCCGCTACATGGCCTTCTTCTACTGCAACGCGGCGAGCTTCATGGCGTCCGTGGCTCTCATCGTCCTGCTCGTGAACCCGAACCTGTACAGGCCAGGGATACGGTGCTACGCGCTCTACGTGTGCATGGTGGTGGGCATGTTTGGGCTCATGGGAGCCTATGCCGCTGGGAGCTCCAGGGATCTGCGCACCTCCATTTATGTGTTGACGCTGGTTGTTGCCGTGTTTGCCTTTGTAGCCCTGGAGGTAGTCATTTTCTTGGTTCACCCCTACCTAAGAGATCATTGGAAGCAATGGTGGGGGTGCCTAAAAGATCATTGGAAGCAGTGGTGGAGGTGCATCAAGAATAATGCAGCTGATTCCTCCGGGCAAGCAGAACCAGACGCCGGCACGAAACAGAACCAGGAGACAGAGATACAGCAGGAAAGTAAAACTCAGGGAGAGATGCCAGTAGAAGCACGGCAAGAAGATCAGCTCTCTGTCTCTGGATCATCAGAAGATAGGAACATGCGTGAATACTTGATGCTGCTAGGAGTCCTTGCTGCGAGTGTAACCTATCAGACTGGCCTGAAGCCACCAGGTGGCCTGTGGCAGGACGACAGCAATGGTCCCTCTGCTGGCAGCTCCATCCTCCATTACATCAACAAACGCCGGTACCATGCTTTCTTCTACTGCAACTCCACCTCCTTCATGGCTTCCGTCGTCGTCATCATCTTGCTCCTGCCACTCTGGCCATCGACTCTCCAAAATTACGAATTGCCACTCTGGCCAATGCACACAGCTATCTTGCTTGACATGCTCGGCCTGCTGGGGGCCTATGCAGCAGGCAGTACCAGAGACTGGGAGACATCCAGGAATGTCGTCTACTTGGTCATCCCTGTCCTGGCCTATATTGCAGCCTATGCATTAGTCTCAATCTTCTGCAAGAAAGGTGGTGCCACAGCCCACAAGAGCAAGTCCGAAGAACAGAAACCATCTGGCAATCATGAAGTCTGAAGTGACAAATTCCTTTTATTTCTATTTTCATTCAGTTGTGACACCCATGTTTGCATTGAGATAGTGAGTTGTTTGTTCATATGTGTTATCCGAAAGTTATCGGCATATCCCTTGCGTTCTTAATTCTTACGAGTGATAGTGTAACCGAGGGAGAAAATCGATTTCAGTTTCTACATTACCTGAAAGTGTGCCAAAACAGACTGATAGCCAAATACCAAAACAGACTGATAGCCAAATAGCAAATATGCTAACGCCAAACCAATATGTACCTTCGACTTTTCATATTACCTATTTTATATTGGTCTCGGTCTCTATGTCGCTGCTAGGATCGTCGCCTCATGTGGCAAGGAGGAGAAAGAAGAGGAAGAAGGCTCGAACAGAAAGGTTGGGGCCGGGGTTGAAACACAAGTTCGGCGCCAGTCACTCTGGCGCCGAGCTCGGCACCAAGATCTACGGCGCCGAGCTCGACGTCAGGGTGAGGCGCCGAGCTCCCTGCCATGTCACCTCCACGTGGGTCTCGAGCTCAAGAGCTCGGCGACAGGGACGCTGGCGTCGAGACGTGTTAGCTCGGTGCCAGCATCGATGACGCCGAGTTAATGGTCCAGATTCTAAAATCTTTCCTTTAAAAACGTATTTGTGAAAAACTTAAAAAAAAAGCTAAAAAATAAAAAATTCGGACGTGAGCCCCGTCGCGGCGAGTGCGGAGCCAAGCGCCGCCCCGCCACGGTGCCCCACCGACGACGCGTGTGTGGAGGAGGCGCATGGGCGTTCAGCGTGGACCCGCGCTGCTACGACTCGCTGGGTTTGCCGCCGGACGGCGGGGATCTAGTCTTACCGTCAACGTGGCATCTTGGGGCCAAGTACGAGCCGTTCGATCCGCTACCCGAGGACGCCATGAGCCTTCAGGACTGCTTCGCCGGCGACGACGACGTGTGGAGCAGTGCGCTGGCTAGTCAAGGGTTGGAAGCAGCTCACTGCAGCAGGCCGTAATTTTTTAACTCCCGTGTTGATTTTCACCGTGCTTGTGATTGTTTTATGCGCTCTTTAATTTTCTTTTTCTGGTTGTGATCATGTTCAGGAGTAATTTATATAGGCCATATATACAGCGGTCCCGTTCACTTCCTGAAAAAACAAGTCGAAACATTGTTTTCGGTTGATTTGTTATGAGAGAAAAACACTGTTTCAACTGAAAAAAAAAGCTGAAAAAGTACGGATTATAAGACAAACGAAAAAAGCCAGCAGATCCAGATCATGGGTTACGAAGAATGGCTAAAATGCATGCATGGTGACCATGCTCGACGTCAGGATCTATAGCTCCGAGGTCGGAGCCGAGATCCATGACTCCGAGGTCGGAGCCACAGATCTTAGTGTCGAGCTCGGAGCCAAGATCTGGTTCCGAGATATCGGTCACGTCAACGCCATAGGATACCCTGCTGTACACGGTCAGATACCTCAGAGCCAAGATCTATAACGCCGAGACGTGTTACCTCGAAGCCATGAGTCCTGACACTGACCTCCAAAGTCCAAAGAAGAATTTACATCCTCTTCGGGGTTAAACGTAAATTTTCTCAAAAAAAAAACCCAATTGCAAAAAATTATGTCGTCTTCGCTTGGGGCATTGACCTCACTCAAGTCTTCGTCTTCCTTCTTGGCCAGATGCCAGTTTTTCCTCTCTTTATGTTCAGAACCATCCTTGAATTTCTCCTTATTCCAGATATATCTTCTCTAAGCCAAGAATCCCTTGCTCTCTTCTTCCGATGCATGTTTAGAGGGCAATTTCACCTGAGAGGCCGAGGTTAACAACCTTTATTGGAGAGCAAGCAGCCATATGGCCAGCACCGCTGCTAGTCGGGAAGCAGGCAACAATCACAGTGAAGGCAGCACCACACATGGAGGCACCACAGGGGAGCCTGCCATGGTCACCGACAACACCAGGCAAGAATCCATTGATAGTTCATCCACCAGGAATTTGCTAGCCCCTAGCCATGAATTCAGAGTCACCGTAGATTTTGAGCTCCTGTGGAGACTGCGGAAGTATCTGCTGCTTCTTGGTATCCTAGCTGTTAGTGTTACATACAATTCTGGATTAACTCCACCTGGAGGGTTCTGGTCGAACAACACAAAAGATGGGCATTCTGGACATGACGCGGGTGACCCTGTCCTTCGGGCTCTGTTCTTCTCACGGTATGAGGTATTCTTCTACTGCAATGCAACAGCCTTTGCTGCATCTCTTGTCCTAATCATCTTGCTTCTGAGTAAAAATGTGACAAGGCAGAAGTTATGGCTCCGCTCAATGCAACTTACCATGATTCTGGACCTGTTTAGCCTAATGGGGGCCTATGCTGCTGGAAGCTACAGGGCAGTAAAGTCATCCATTTACATCTGGATTCTGGTCTTTTCTGTTTTCATATATATTATGATCCATATCCTACTATTTATGAGAGTTGTTCCAAAATTTGTTTCGGAGAAAAGATTTGTTCCAAAATGGCTGAAAGATATGGCAATGTCTGTGCAAGATTGGATTCTATCCAGGTGTGATGTTCATAGGAGTGAAAGGAACAACTCCCATGAGAAAGATCTAGAGGAAGCTCGCAAGTTCATTTTGATGCTTGTGACTTTCGCTGCAACTGTGACATACCAAACAGGGTTGAGTCCACCGGGTGGTTTTTGGGCTGAAGACGGTGATAAAATTCCAGCTACATCTATGCTTCGCAGTAAAAACCCTGCTCGATATAATACTTTTGTTATTTGCAACTCAACTTCCTTTGTTGCGTCTTTGGTCACAATCATACTGCTTCTGAGCCCAGAACTGAGTGGGCATGGCATCAGATCCAAAGCAGTGATTGTATGTGTCATTGTCGACATATTTGGCCTGGTTGGAGCATATGCTGCAGGAAGCTGTAGGAGTGTGGCAACATCTGTCTGTGTTATTTTGATTGCTGTTGTAGTATGGATCTGCTTTGCAGTTTTAGCTGGGACTTTTGTTAACAGATCTGTATCAGGCTGGTTTGGAAAGATCAAACCAGATATTTTGTGGTACATGGATAAATTTGGCCGGGTCGTTTCATTGAATTTTGGCAGCAAGAGATCAAGAAATCCAGAGGGAGAGAATTCTATTGCAAGTAATCAGCAAACTGCAGATTGCATAAAAGATGGAGCAGAACCAGAAATTGCTAGGGTGCCAGAATACCAGCTTCAATACCATCAGCAAGTTCCAAATATTAAAGAGGGTGACTCCCCTGGGGAGCAGCAGAGTCCAGGCAAACAACAACCTACAAACACTGGGGTTGTGTCCAGCTCAGAGTATGCATTTGTGAATGACAAGCAAGCAGAAAATAGCAGCAATGTCACGTGCAACCTGGAAGGTCAGTCTACAGACCCAAATTCAGTTGCAAACGAGGCTATGTCTGAAACTGAAACAGGTAATCCTTTATGAGATTTTAGTAAGGTAAAAATACTAACACCAATATGTCTAACTCTGATTGTCAACCTGCAGAAAACATGCAAGATGCAAATATGGAGGAACAATCTTCATTGGTGGATGATCTTAAAACTCCCATAACTGTGGCTGGTATGTCTAATCATGAGCATCAATTGGTAGATAACCATAGAGTTCAAAGTATGATCAGGCAATCTTTCTCTACTGATGATCAAGAATCCACAGCCGTGGAGTGCTTGTCCGACATTGCATCCAATAACTATAACGGAGCCACCAACAGTTTCAAGGAAGAGGAAAAAACTTCTGAGGAGACTTTGGAAGCAATTGAGATAGAGAGTTCTGAAACCAATAATGTCTCTAGACCTATTGAGAATGGCAACATTGGCATGCATGAAGTAGCTCCCAGACAAAATGCCAGCAATGTAAATGCTGGTTCCAACCCAACTGATGAACATCTGAAGAAGTCCCGAACATATCTTCTTCTTCTAGCCATTCTTGCAGTATCCCTGACGTATCAATCAGGTTTAAATCCACCAGGTGGTTTCTGGTCCCAAAGAGAGAACAATAATTCAACTGGTGTTCCCATCCCTAAGAACACTCATCATCGTCCCTATCATTTACCTGGTGATCCCATCCTTGAGGACACTCACCATCAACGCTATATTGCATTCTTCTATTTAAATGCTATCGCCTTTGTTGCTTCCCTTGTCATGATTATTATGCTCCTGAATAAGAGGATGAGCAACAAGGTCTTAAAACGATATGCACTGCAGATAACAATGATAGTGGATCTTCTTGCTCTGACAGGGTCTTATGTTATGGGGAGCTGTAGGAACAGAAAGAGTTCCATATACATCTGGCTGTTGGTGTGCCTTGTGCTGGCTTATGTTGCTGTTCATGTTCTGATAGCAATACATGTAATCCCTGAAGGGTGCAAAAAGTTTGTTGCACATAAGATTGAGAATTTATCCTGCAGATATATATGGACAAAGCCTTCGAATGGGAACAACCAAAGAAGTGATGCTAATGGTAATGATTGTGAGCTTGGGCTGAGCCAGAGGGGTGATGCTGATGACAAGAACTGGGAGCAGAGGCGTAATCTACTATTGATGCTTGCTATTCTAGCTGCAACAGTCACATACCAAGCTGGCATGAATCCTCCAGGAGGTGTATGGTCTGATGACGAGGCGGTGAGTGGTAAACCAGGAGACCCAATCCTTCAGCACAACAATTTTAAGCGTTATGATGTTTTCTACTACTCAAACTCACTCTCATTCGTGGCATCTGTAGTTATCACAATATTACTTGTGAACAAGGAATCCTGCGAGCATGGTATCAAGTCCTATGCACTAAGAGTGTGTTTGGTGGTGGGCATGGTTAGCCTCTTGATTGCCTATTCTGCAGGAAGCTGTAGGAAAGCAAGAGAATCTATTTATCTCATCATCATTGCTGTTGCAGTTCTGATTGCCCTTGTGATTCAAGTGCTTCTTCTCTCCTCAACACAAGATAGTCTCAGAGGACCGACTGGACAATTTATAGAACGTCTGCTTCAGCTGCTTTTTGGAAAGGATGAGGCCTGGCATGGAACTACTTCTCAACAGAAAGAAAGCTCAGATAGTCCTGAGAAAAAAGTTCCAAAGAGGCACAAGTATTTGATGCTGCTTGCAGTTTTAGCTGCCTCCATCACGTACCAAGCTGGTCTCAACCCACCTGGTGGTTTCTGGTCTGACGATGATGAAGGCCATGTGGAAGGCAATCCTGGCCTAAAACCACCTGGTAAATTGTGGTCTGATAACAAAGGACATTTGGCAGGCAATCCTGTTCTTCTTGATATTAATCCTCTGCGCTACGAAATATTCTTCTGCTTCAACTCTATCTCATTCATGGCTTCTATTGTCGTAGTCATGTTTCTGTTGAACAAATCTGCCCGGAAGAAGACTGTGCCACTTGAAGTATTGCATTTGATCATGATACTGGACCTGCTGGCCCTCATGACAGCTTTTGCTGCTGGAAGTTGCAGAAAATTCAGGACTTCAGTCTATGTGTATGCTCTAGTACTCGGTGTTGTGGTATACCTTGTGATTGTAGTTCTTTTGTCAAGTGGCATTGCAAAATGTCTGAAACCGACGGAGAGAAATAAGGTTTCCTCTCAGAGAAGTCCTAGTCACGCTTCTACAACAAGCACACTGATACTTGAAGACCAAGTTTGATGGTTCCATCCCTTTGGTAATTGTACTAATTTAAAAGTTTGTTTTGCTTGTATTATCTGCAAATAGTGTCCGTATTTGGTTTTTCATTGTATGTTATGTTGTGAGAGTTTGAACTGAATTGAAATTTAGCGATGCTGTATGCTGTTCATTTCTTTTAGATTGTAAAATGAGTGCAATCCTGAGGCTACATGTGTATGCCGTTGGTTCCAATCTATGCAATGCTATAACAAGCAAATCCTGGAGACTATATCACGATTTTCTGTTTGTCCCGTATGCCTGAGCTTGAAATTATGCTGTGTATACTGTATACATGATACGAGTACTCCATTTTGAGGTCTCTGTTCTCAGTTCTGACATGGAAGTTGATAGTGCGAAGGCATTGCCATTCATAGTCTTGGAGTCTGAACTCAGAAGGTCCCATTGTTAGGATGAAAATATTTTTTTCTGTATTGTCTTCAAATGATGGCTGTGGTTTTGTTTCGGTGAATGTATTTTGAGTTCAAACGAACATGGATACCAGTGGTGTAGTATGCTCATCAGCTTTGTAGTTGTTTTCCCCACAGATCTTTGATTTTTCCCATATATGTATGTGTATGTGTATGTGTTATTAGGTTCCAGTATAGCCCATGCTACTACAGCCCTGGAGATTCTTATTTTCATGATTTTTGCCGCATATGCCTGAGCCTGTCATGGATCTATTCCTCTTTTATTTCTTTTCTTTTCTTTTTTTTTTGCGATTGTTTTGAAATCACCTCAACTATTTTTCTGTCATTTCGGTGACCACGGTCATGGAAATAGTCCCGCTGCTTTTGAATTGCTTGGAAGGCCTGATGGTTTGCTGGTGGTGTTGATTTAATGTTTGCTGCCACTGGATTGTTGATGTTTGGCAATGTTGTTTTATATTTCCTCCACAAATGCAATTCTCGCTTTCAAAAAAGTTAAACATATTTAAGTTTGACAAAATATATATAAAAAAATTACCAATGTTTATGACACTGAATACTCTCTCTGTTCCTATTTAATTTTAACTAGGTTCATAGAAAACATTAGCAACATTTGTATCTCCAAATAAGTTTATTATGAATATAGATTTAATGATCTATCTAATGATACTAATTATGTCTCATAAACATTACTCACTTCGTTCCATTTTATCTGGCGCAAGTTAGAATGATACGGTCTTCTGGATTATACTTTGATCATTCATTTGCTTTACATTATATTATTTATGCTTATAAACTTATAATCATTGGATAGTATAATTTCTTACAAATCTAATCATATAAAGTTTGTATTATAATAGTTAAAAATTATTAGCCTAATTATTGGTCAAAGTTTTTAAAGTTTGAATCTTGATATGCGTGTGCGCCAGAAAAAATGGAACGGAGGTAGTAGTATTTTCTTGTATATTTGATCCAAGTTGAGTATGTTTGGCTTCTTAGAAAGTGAGAATTACAGTTAAAAGGTGATGAAGAGAGTAATTATTATCATATAAATTAGGAAATATATTTGCATAGAAAACCTATTTGGAGATATGATTGTTGATATTATTTTTTATGAATTTTGTTAAAGTTAAAAAAAGTTTGACTAACTTTAAATCTGTAATTGCATTTTTTTTAAAGACGGATGGAGTATTTCTGAACGTTGATGACGCACGTTATGTTCCTAGTACAGTGAGGTTTAACACACCTGCAGGTTCAGTGATTCTGCCCCTGCCTGCCCGCCCGGCCGGCTGGTGTTGGTATAAATGCGGGGCTTTGGCTGGTGGTTTCCGTGGCTCCGGTTCAAGTTGATTTGTTGTGAGACACGTGCTGTAGCGAACGGCCGAGCGGCCGCAGCAGCGCAAGCGCTTGCACGCCGTGAGGCGGACCTGTGCACTGCCCTCACGTTACTGGGCGCGCAGCAGTGGATCCGCTGGAGGGAATATTCATTTGCCATGTTCATCTTGGCCGGACCCCAGAACGGCGTCCTGTCCTGCCGATGCTCGACGAAATGCCGGACCGAGCCACGGTGCTTCCCCGCCCCAACTGACCCCCCGGCGGTGCTCGAACAAATGCCCGAGCGGTGGACGTACCCGGCCCAGGTGGGTGCCCCCGCGCTTGCCAGCAGGCGAAGCAGCGCCGGCATACGGACACCAAGTCCGGTGCCCCGCGGGCGCGCGCGTCCACCGCTTGGCCTCCGTTGAGGAAAGCACGACCGGGACGTCACGTCACGATTCCGCACGCCCGGATGAGACCAGCGAGCCTCGACGCGCAGTGGAATTGTCAGATGCCCAAGTCAACGTGGCAGGTGGGCACGGTCACTCACCGAGCAGAACTGCTCGGCGGAGACACGGGGACCAGTGGATGCCTGAGCTGAGCTGGGACACCACGGTGTGAACCTACGGCACCACCAGTCAGCCGGTCCAACCTGTTCTGGAGTGGACTTGCTCTCCGGCCGGCGTGAGCAGCCAGTTCACACGGTCTGTCTTTGTCGGGGCCTCTACTATTCCGGTGAGTACTGGTGACGGAGTGCTGCTAGGGCAGTTCCGATGAAAGAAATATAACGCCCGGATGAGACCAAAAGAGCCTCGATCTATAGTTTACAGTGGTAATAATTATTTTCTTTCTCCCAACTCTATCTTCTTCCTTCAATGGTCAATGCGACAGCAGAACTCCTCGGCGGAGGTTTCTCACCAACCAGTGGATTTCCTGAGCTGAGCTGGGACAGTACGGTGTGGTTTCTACGGCAAACCAGTTCATGATTTTTGCTGTTCTGGAGTTCATTAATTACGCTGCCATGTCAGCAGCCAGTTCCCACGGTCTGTCATTTAACGAGGATATAAACCATCATCGATACACCATTGGGACTGCCCTTATACAAGTATTTCCATTTTCCTCTAGGTGAGGTATGGTGCTAACAATGGGGTAGTACCCAGTTAGTTGTACCTTGCAATTCCATTACCATTACCATTACCCAACGATTCAATTAGTTTGGCAGCCAACAAGCTAATGTATTCTGGTATATTATAATATTGAAACAGATCATCTCTGGATTGGATAATGTCCATGTCAACCAGCTTGTTGGCACTCCTTTTTTTAAACAGTGCTCTATGCTTTATCCGGGGAAGCAGCATGTTAGCTATTTATTCTTCTTTTAAGAAATGGAAAATAAACTTGCAGGTCAGTATACAGTTCATTCTTAGTAGGTCATTACAATCAGCTAATTTCCCATTCAATCATAGGTACCATATGACATGGTTGGTGGCTTGTCGCTGGTGTTGGCCTCTGGCTCTGGGGGGCATTGACTCCACCTGGTCTCAAGTCTCCTCCCTCTTATATTCATTTTCTCTGCTTCCTCTTATACTCACACTCGCACCATCCATAGGCTCTTCAATAGCTTAGCTTCTTGGAGTCCTTACAAATGTGCTCGCCAGTCCGAGAAGCCAAGTCATCTGCTGCTCTCTAATTCTCTATGCTAGCTTAAACTTTCCACCTCGGCTACAGAGTGATTATATCATGTCTTTTGATCTTTCCATGTAACTGCATGAGCAACGCGATGTCTTCCCCATAGGTATGTCCTCATTTTCCTCCCAGTGTTTACTCATTCGTTTTGTAGACCTGTATGTAACTTAGCATTGCCAAAATGCCAGTAGCCAACGGCTTCCAGTTAATGTCTTTCATGATTGTGGTATATACAGTAGAAATTTCTATACATCTTTTGCTTGTAATATACTATTTTTTTTAAAAAAAAAATACTCAATTTGTTTCTTTGGTTGTCATATAATTTTTTTTTAACACAAAACCCAGTTCGGATTCTAATGATGAGTTGTCTTTCTTATTAATACTCTCACTCGGTTAGTTTCTTAGCCACAGAAGCATACACAATAATTTATTGCTACTGTTTGCTCTGTTTATGTTGGTGACATTGACTTCACTCTTGACCAAGTCTTCTCTTCCTCCCTGCATCCTTTGTTTTGCCATTGTTCTTTTCCAAAAATCAGAACACTCCTTGAATCACCTATGACTCTGAATCTTTCAGATATCTTTTCACATTCAAAGAGCTATTTACTGCTGCTGCAAATGGAAGGGTAGAGGGCAGCTGAGACTTGCGCTCTCAGTTGAGGAGCTACAATATGGATACTGTGCAAATAGAGCATGCCATTGCTCTGACCAACTCCACAACTACTCCAGAAGCAAGCAATGAAGAATACAGCAACACCCATGGTGACAGCAATGGTGAGATTTCCGTGGCCACTGGCATTGGTGGTGACGGCGGGCAGGACTCCATGAGTGATTCATCCAGGAGGTCTTTGTCAGTTGAATTTGATTTCTTGTGGAAACTGCGGAAGTATTTGGTACTGCTTGCAAGCTTGGCCGTTGGTGTGACATACAATTCTGGATTAACACCACCGGGAGGATTTTGGAATACAACCAAAGATGGCCATGAAGCTGGTGACCCTGCCCTTCGTGTTGAGTTCTACCAGCGGTATGAGATATTCTTTTACTGCAACGCAACAGCCTTTGCTGCATCTCTTGTCTTAATCGTCTTGCTTCTAAGCAAGAGAGTGACCAAGAAGGAGTTATGGCTCCGTTCGATGCAATTTACCATGCTAGTGGACCTATTCAGTCTGATGGCGGCCTATGTTGCTGGGAGCTGCAGGGCACTCAAGTCATCCATCTACATATTGGCTCTATTCATTATTGCTTTTGCATATATTTTGATTCACATCCTAGTATCCACCTGGATTGTTCCAGAAACATTCAAAAACAAGGTGACGACCAAGGTGAACGAAATTCTATCCAAATTGGGTATTCCTGATGTGCAGAGTAGTCGCAAAGAGAAAAAAGACCTTGAGGAGGCTCGGAAGTTTATTCTGATGCTTGTAACTTTTGCTGCTACTGTCACATACCAAGCAGGGTTGAGTCCACCAGGTGGATTTTGGGCTGAAAATGATTACAAGCAACGTCCAGCTACTCCTGTTCTTCGCAGTCACTACCTGCCCCGTTATAATATATTTATCAGTTGCAATTCAACTTCCTTTGTGGCGTCTTTGGTTACAATCATACTTCTTCTGAGCCCAGAATTGAGCAGGCATGGAATAAGGTCAAAAGCAGTGATTGTTTGTGTGCTAGCTGACCTGTTCTTCCTGATTGGTGCTTATGCTGCTGGGTGCTGTAGGGATGTAACGACATCATTCTATGTTATGTTTATTATCATCATAGTTTTGATCTGCATTGTCCTTTTAGCTTGGATCTTTGCTTACGGTCCTGTAGCAGAATGCCTACAAAAGATCAAATTAAGCACTAAACGGTGCATGAGTGTGCTCTCATCAAATTTTGGTAGTAATAGATTGAGCAATGCAGATCAGGAGGGTTCTAATGCAAGATGTCACCAGGCTTCAGTCCATGATCCAGGTGCACCGACAGGTGAACATGCAGTAAATCAGCATGTTTCAAATACTGAGGAGTCCTCTGTGGAGTATCCGCCTGAAGACATCCGGAAAACAGAAAACAGTGAGGAATCATTCTCCAACTCTTGGCATACATCGGTCAACAGTCCACAATCAGCAAATACCAAGGATCTGGTGTCCAATATGGACAATGAATCTACAGACAACCATCTAGTTGCAAATATGAAGGAGTCTCTGACCAGCACAGAGCGATCATCATTCAGCTGCCAGGAAACATCAGATTGCAATGGTGTGTCTGCAGATAGACAACAAGTTATAGGTATGAATAAGGAGAAATCTTCTTTTGATGTCAGGACTACTGATATGCCAGCAACTGGCTCTTCTGAACAAACTATGTTAGCCGGTGACTCTAATGGAGCCACTAATGATGTCATAGAGGATGAAAGGCCTTCTTTGCCTGCAGAAACCATTGTTAATGTGGAATCTGCAGAGCAACAGACTTCAATGGGGTATAGTAACCATGGCATTGAAAATGGTGGCGTTAACAATAATGCAGAACATGAGAATGGGAATGGACATATAAACAGCCATCAAGGAGCACCAGATAAAAATTCTCATGGAAATTCAACTGAAGATCATCTAGAGAAGACCCGTACATATCTGCTTCTTCTTGCTATTCTTGCAGTATCTCTGACATATCAATCAGGTCTGAATCCACCAGGTGGCTTCTGGTCAAGAACTGAGAATAATCATTCAGCTGGTGATCGCGTCCTCGAGGACACTGACCATCCACGCTTCATTGCATTCTTCTATCTCAATGCTGTTGCATTTGTGGCATCTATTGTCATCATTGTTATGCTCCTGGACAAGACTATGAGCAGGAAGGTTACAAAACATCGTGTATTGCAGCTAGCTATGATAGTGGACTTACTTTCCTTAACTGGGGCCTTTGTCATGGGGAGCTGCAGGGAGCCAAATAAGTCAATTTCCACATCAGTATTATTGTTTCTTGTGCCTGCTTATGTTGCTCTTCATGTTCTAGCGATTCATATAATCTCTCCACTGGTTCCAGATAAAGTAAAGCAGCTCTCGTGTGGGAATGTGTGGTCAGCATTTCTTCAATTACGCCACAAGCAGACAGGGAATAAAACTGAGGCAAAGGAATTGGAACGGAGGCGTAATCTACTATTGACACTTTCTATTATAGCAGCAACTGTGACATACCAAGCTGGTATAAACCCTCCAGGCAGTGTATGGTCTGATGACAAAGATGTCAGTGGTAGACCAGGAAACCCAATCCTTCAGGACAACCACCCAAGGCGATATGATGTGTTCTACTACTCAAATTCAATCTCATTTGTGTCATCTGTTGCTATCACAATACTACTTGTGAATAAGGAATCATGTGAGCGTGGAATCAAATCTTATGCACTGCGAGTGTGTTTGGTGGTCGGTTTAGTTGGCCTCTTGGTGGCCTATGTTGCAGGAAGCTGCAGGTATAAAAAGCAATCCATCTTTGTCATCATCATTGCTGTGGCTGTCCTAGTATCCCTTGTGATTCAAGTCCTACTATCTTCGATGTATGAAACACTACGAACACCATTGGCTAAACTTATGGAATGTCTGCAACAGCTTATGGAATATCTGCAAAGGTGTTTTTTTCGTACAGAGAAGGTTAGGCGAGAGATTATTCCTGAGTCGCCGGAAACTAAAGAGTGTGGTAAAAAAAGAGAGAGAAAGAGACATAAGAGTCTCATGCTTATTGCCACTTTAGCAGCCTCTGTCACATACCAAGCAGGTCTGAATCCGCCTGGTGGATTCAGGTCTGATGACGACGACAATGGCCATTTTGCAGGTGATCCACTTCTCCGTGATATTAACCATCGACGCTACAAGACATTCTTCTGCTTCAATGCTATCTCCTTCATGGCCTCTATTGTTGTGATAATGCTTCTGCTGAGTAAATCTATTAGGAAGAAACCTGTCCGACTTGAGGTACTGCTCCTGATTATGATACTGGATCTGCTGTCTGTCATGACAGCTTTTGCTGCAGGAAGCTGCCGGAAACTCAGTACTTCGATCTATGTCTTTTTGCTGGTAGCTGGCGTCGTAATATATCTTGTATTCCTTGTTGTTATCTCGAGAGTCATTGGAAAATGTCACAAAAAGTAGAAGACAGTCATGTTTTTCTGCTCAAGGTGTGCTGTTTGTGTTTCAAGCACAAACACAAGTGTGCCCAGGGAGCAAGTTTGAGGAAATCATTCCTACTCTTCGTAAGTCAGTGTATCTTCATCTTCTTTTTTCTGTAGTGGGGTGCAACAAAATCAGTGGGTTGAACTCTGACCATTGTTTATGTATTCAAATTTTATTGTAAGATGGTTTTGTTGTATGTTATTAAACATTCGTTTAGGAAAGTCGAATCCGGATTAAAACCTTTTAGGCCCCATTCGGTTGTTGCGGACCGGACCATTCCAGGCTTGAAACTATTCCTCGGTAGTACAAATTTGTGTAGGAAAGGGTCCGGCTGGGAATCAATCCCAGATAACCGAACGGAGCCTTAACATGTTTGAGAGTATTCATGCAAATTGTTCTACACTTCACGAAACTAAGTAGACCACGGAATTTGTTGTGCATTATGTCTATGCATGTATGTTTCCTTTTTCCTATTATATGCTAGATAACCAGATGCTGAAAGACTTAATATGGTTTCTCAAAATTGTAATGGCTTTAGAAAACTCATTGTATACATCTTCACACCCTAACTATATGTTCGGAGGCATTTTTTTTTCACAATTATGGTTTTTCTGTTGTATTGACCCTGTTCGCTTTGCTGAAAAGTTATGGCTGAAAGTACTGTTCGTTGATTTGTTGTGAGAGAAAAACATTGTTCATTCGCTGAAATAGTACGGCTCATAAGACAAGCGAACATGGCCGAATGGGATGGCAGCCCGATGCCTGGTAAGCTCTAGCACCACTTGCGATTGGAGATTAGAAAACTAATATCCAGATAAAAACATCATTAGTAGACCGTCTAAAAACTCTTTGGCGGCCATTAACAATTCTAACGTGTTATTTAAATGTTACCTTGTAATGGCACTGTTTGTATGTATCATACTATATTACTTTTGTGGTAATAATTATAGCTGCTATAAATAGTACTTTAAGAACACATATGTGAATTAGAACAATGGTAGATTTACAATTTTTTCCTTAGTTATTTCCAGGGTCAGGCCAACTAATAACTGATTGTGAACGAAAATAGTATTTATTTAAGCTAAAAATATTATTTAGTTAATGAAATATGAAGACAAAATTATAATTGAACAGTATAATATCAATATTGAATCTGAACGATCCAATTATTCATACTTGAGGATGTTTAATCTATATTTATATTCATTTTAAAATATAGATATAAATATCGAAAGTGTGCTATCCAATTTAATAGCCAGGGATGACGCCAAGAACATTATTAGGGCCCCGTTTAGTTCGCTGGCAGATTTGGCGCCGCCGGAATCTGTAACACTGTAGCGCACTGCAGCGTTTCGTTTGTATTTGGTAATAATTGTCCAATCGTTGACTAATTAGACTCAAAACGTTCGTCTCGTAAAGTACAACCAAACTGTGCAATTAGTTTTTTATTTCGTCAACATTTAGTACTCCATGCATGTACCGCAAGTTTGATGTGACGGAGAATCTTCTTTTTATATAGTGCCAAAATTGGAAATTTAGTGGAACTAAACAAGGGCTAGGACCTATTGATGACTGTTCATCTTGAATCGTGGGTAGTCCTAGAACTGGTAAGGTGTGACAGCGCTGTGTTCCATATATTATAAGCGATGAAGTTGAGCCGAAGAAAAGTTTAAGGACTAAAATGTACTCTTGTTAGTTTATAGATGAAGTTAATCCCAAATATAAACTTTTAAGGACTAAAATAGTCACTCTGATAGTTTTAGGATAAAATTGAGCCTAAAAGAAAAATTAAAATAGCCATTTTAACAAGGATGAAATGACAAATACTCCATCTGTACCAAAATAAGTGTCACTATGGGATGCATGCTGGTTAAACTTTCTTAAGTTTAACTAGGTTTGTAAAAAATATTAGCAATATTTATATCTCTAAATAATTTTGTTATGAAAAATATATTCAATGATTTATTGAATGATACTAATTATGTATTAATATTTTCCTATATATATTTGATCAAAGTTAAAAATATTTAACTTGAAGTCAGGGACAGGACAGACGAAGATACTCTGCCGTATTTAAGACGTCGGCTTTCGGTTGAAAGCATTAGTTTAGTTTTGGCTAATTGATGAAACCCTAAGTACTAACCTTTGGCTCTAAGTGAATATGAGATAGGTTAGTACACACCAAGCATTGGAGCAAATAGATAATGATCATGATGATGGTGATGGCCATGGTAATGATCAAGTGCTCAAGCTTGGAAAAGAAGAAAGAGAAAAATAAAATGGCTCAAGACAAATGTATAATTGATAGGAGTATTTTGTTTTGCCACTCAAGACACCAAGCGGTTGTGAGTGGGGTTAGGATAGATAGCCGTAATACGAAGAGGGGTTAAACTCGTTGTGAAATGTGGTTATCAAAGTACCACTAGATGTTCTAACTCACTGTATATATATTTAGATTCTAGTGAGTGCTACTACCCTTGAAAATGCTTTGAGAAAATACTAACACACATGCACAATGATGATATATTTGGTGGTTAGCACTTGGGAACAAAGGGTAAAGAAGTTGGAGAAGTAAAGGTGCAGCTGCAGGGGACCGAACCCTGCCTTCAGCAGGACCGGATCTTGATCGGGGACTCCGGTCATGTAGTCCAGAACAAAGGGTAAAAAGTTTAGGGGTAGAAAATCTAGTTTTATAGTTTGAAGAGTGAAGTAGTCTACTATAAATAGTTAGAGGGTTATGTAGATTTTTTTTCTTTTTCACTTTGTATCCCTTGTTTCTGCATCTCCAAAAACAAATTTTATTTTTACTGAAAAGCATGTGAAGTGACGCGGGGCAACGTGCAGCAAGGTAAAGAATCCAAAGTTCCCAATCATAAAAAAGAACCAAGAGTGCTGAACGAGAGGGCCTCATAAGTACTACGGCCAAATTAGGATTCAACAGATTCGGACAGGAAACAGTAAAAAAATCTAGCGACGAGCCGGCAAAAGATCTGACCCTGGCCGGCCAAATGCCCCAGATAGTTAGGGGGTGTTTGTTTCTCACCTAGCAGGTTTAGTTCATGTCGCATCTACGGTAAACATATTTGATAATATTTTAAATATTAAATATAGACTAATTATAAAACTAATTATACAGGTTGAGACTAATTTATGAGATTAATCTATTAAGCCTAATTAGTCTATGATTTGATAACATAGTGCTACCGTACACATATGTTAATGATGAATTAATTCGTCTCACAAATTAATCACAAATTCTATAATTAGTTTCATTATTAATATCCCATCAGACATCTCCTGTCCGAGCTGCCTCGGTTCCACTGCACTACCGTGCAGATGGGCTCGGACAAGGAAATCCGACGTGATGAGACCGTTACTCGATCAAATCGATTTGATTTCGTAGGAAATGGACTTTGTGATTTTGGCGTTTAGTTCCTCTCTAAAAGTTTACTCTATATTTCATTGAATGTTTAGACATATACGTGGAGTATTAAATATAGATTAAAAAAATAACTAATTAATTCATAATTTGACAATGTGATGCTACAGTAACACATGCGTTAATGATAAATTAATTAGATTTAATAAATTCGTCTCGCATATTATTGACGGATTTTATAATTTATTTTTATTAGTGACACCTTAAAACTTTAAATCCTAGATTTAAGGGCCTTTGTTTTCGCTACTTACCAGGATTTTGTAATTTTTGAGACAACCGAGAGGGATGGGAGAGACCACGTCAGGTGGAGTCCGCCAAGGCCAAACTTCTGAGACGGCACAGAATCACCGTGCAGTAGCATCTCTGAACGATTCCGCTTCCGCAGAAGGTTGAGAGAGAGTGTGTGATGAGCCTGTGACTGTGAGTGTGGGGGGGCACGTCGCCTTTTCTTCCTTTCCTCCCTCTTCCGTGTTCATTCACCGCTCACTCTCACGTCTCACACCAATCTGGTCCTACATACACTTTGCTGCACTCCTCTGCACGCATGAGAGCAACTCCAGCAGTAGCCTCCAAATTAGAGCCCTCATTTTATATTTGGGTGCCTATCCCTATTTTTGTTGGTTTAAATTTGTGTTTCCACTCCAGCAGTAGCCCCAAAATGAAGGCCCTCAAATCCATATTAGTAGACAATGACATAAGGGGCCCACTTGTTATTGGGTCAAATCTATCTTCCCCTGAAATCCACCCCACGTACCATGACGTGGGCGTAAGCAGCCTTCCTTTGTGTCGCAGGGTCATGCGAGGCAGCTCACATGCCAAGCGAGAGGGGACCGAGCCCGCACGGCGGAGTAGAGGGAGGCCCGCACGGTGGAGCAAAGGGGAGCCAGGGCCCAGCAACCCTGATGCCCAAGGGCGGCCGCGAGAGAGAAGGGGCCGACGCCGGGGAGGGGAGGTCGTGGACGCCATGGCAGGGGGCGCGCGCATGCCCAGGTGGAGAAGGGGCCAGGCTCCATGGCAGGGCGCGCGCGAAGGGGAGGAGCCGACGAGCCCTCCGTCCCTGCCTTCCGTGGATCTGGTCGCGCGGAGCTCGTCGGAGGAAGCCACCGGAGGGAGAGGAGCCGCGCCGCCAGTGCTCGCTGCCGCACTGGGACACCGCGACGCTCGTCGGAGGAAGCCACCGGAGGGAGAGGAGCAGCGCCCGCACGGATGGGGGCCGGGTTGTTGGCCCAACCAAAATGGGGTCTGGTGAGAGGATTTAGGTGCCCATACAAATTTACGGTCCATTGTAGGGGCTCTCATGAAGTTGGATTTTTGACGTGAGCCCCATATTAGCTACGGGGGCTAAGCAGAGGCCCTGCTGAGTTGCTCTGACGACACGGCGCGGGAGTGTATGAAAACCTCTCGGTCAAATGCTTCCCTGACTCGATCCGCCTGCGCCGGTTTCGCCCGACTCCGCTTCTCTGATTGGTTCCTGGGTTCATCTCCGTCCAATCCTTCAACCCATTCCGGTGAGATTTCTTCTTCCGTCCTGTTCTCTCCGTTGGATTCGTTCCCATCTCCATTAATTCTTCTTTCCCCATTTGCTGTTCCTGCAATGCGATTTCGCCGCCCTGTAGATCTTCGTCGCCTGGATTGGTTCGTCCCTTTTCTTCCTTATTACCTCCACCGTACTACATGAATTTCAAGAGTTCGCTCTCCAGCATTTCGCAGAAAGACGAAAGGGCGTCCTCCGCTTTTGGCCCTTCTTTATTTCTCGCTTTATTTGTGCTTCGTTCACCCTTCCTGCCAACAGAAGGTCGCGCCTTGATGTGACCGAAGGCATCGATAGCAGCCCTTGCCGCGCCATTGATCTGCAAAGCTCCCTTATGTGTTTCACCGGCGGCAATGCGCCCGCAGGAAACTAACCAAAGGGCCCAAAATGCTGGTTCGGGTGATGGGGGATGGGACATGGGAGCCACCGTGCTCCCCTTTTGAGTGGAAAAGATGGCGCCTTTGGCAGCAGAAGCCATCTTTGCTGATCGCTAGCATTTTGTTTATTCGCAAAATGGGGATTGGTAGATCTTTAGACCGCTGTATGATTGCGGTTAGTGGGAGGTTGGGCGGGCTCGGCAGTCTATTGGGACCTCTGGAGCTGCCATCAACCGAGTTTTTCAGTTTGGGGGGAGATGAACTCAGCTAGTATCAACTGAGAGAGCTGAGATGCGTTGGAGGATTGATGTATCTGAATTGGAGGTTATTTCTTAGGTTTGGTTTGCACTGTAGCCTGGTGTTTTTTTTTCTTTCTGTTCGATGAATTTCTTTGTTTCTATATATGATCCTTCTCTGCATGTGTGAATGGTTCAGTGTATTGAATGTTTGTCCTTCTATGCAGATTTCTTGAATGGAAGGCCACAGTTCAAATCTCCAGAGTTGTGCCAAGCTTGAATTTTTGATTGAACAGTGCTTGTCGAAATCCTTTTGATGTATGCAGTCTGAGCCAGTGTATAATTTGGTCTGTGAGATACAATGGCTACAGAGACATTGCCTGAAACACTTCCAGTGGTCCCCGACATTCAAATTCTGAAGCTGCATTCTGATACCTCTTTGGAGGCTTCCAGGCTGAATAAACCTAGTGCATCGTTGCCAACTAGGCTGCCTGAACCAAACAACTTGAGCAAACCATGTTCTGAAACGGAGCCTAAGGACAAGAAACCAAACAGCCTACTAAATGAGTCAGTTGATCATACTAGTTTAGACAACATTTCCGCAGACCCCATCCAAGATAAACTGGTTTCAGAGTGTCCTGTGGATGAACAGAAGAAAGATGTGAACCAAGGGAATATGTGCAGAAGCTTGAAACCATCTTCGATATTGGACAAGGAATGTGGCCTAGCAAAGGCAAATGAAAGTGGCGGGCTGATCAAGAGATCAGATACCGGTGAAAGAGGAATAAGTAGCAGATACAGGCCAAGCAATAGCAGTGATATCAGTGATGAAAGCTCATGTAGCAGTATCACCAAGCCTCATAAGGCAAATGATTCACGCTGGGAGGCAATTCAGATGATTAGGACTAGAGATGGGATCTTTGGTCTGAGCCATTTTAAGCTGTTGAAGAAGCTAGGCTGTGGTGACTTGGCAGTGTATATCTTTCAGAATTGAGTGGAACAAAGAGTTATTTTGTAATGAAGGTCATGGACAAGGCATCACTTGCAAGTCGTAAGAAGTTGCTTCGATCCCAGACTGAAAAGGACATCTTGCAGTGCCTGGATCACCCATTCCTTCCTACATTGTATACCCACTTTGAGACTGATAAATTTTCATGTCTGGTTATGGAGTTTTGTCCTGGAGGAGACATGCATACCCTGCGACAAAGGCAACGTGGCAAGTATTTTCCAGAACAAGCGGTCAAGTATGTCTTATTTATTATATTTTGCCCCATGCAAATGATTTGATTTTACTTATGTTGGATTTGTCACTTTGTTAGTAATTGTTAGAAATATAGGTGTCATGGAGGAGATAATATGGCTTAGTCTGAGTTAATTTGTGGAGGAGTATGGCCTGGATGTTAGCCAATTGGCTGCATAACCTTGTGTGCACTGCCAATAAGAAAGAAGCATACGCAAAATGAAAATGCATGGCCACGAATTGATTTTATTAATTAATTTATTGCAGCTTGCATTCATATATTTACCAAAATTCACCAAACAGCGTTAAAAAAGAGAATATATTATACTTCTTCAATTGCCCATTTTTCATCTATGTTTATTTCTGCTAAGTCAACCGTGTAGTTTTAGTTGTTTCTGCGCTAGTGAGCTGCTTTACTTATACTAAATTTGCTTCTGAATCGCAGATTCTATGTAGCTGAAATTCTCCTAGCATTGGAGTACCTGCACATGCTCGGTATCATATATCGGGATCTCAAACCAGAAAATGTCCTTATCCGTGAGGATGGACACATCATGTTAACGGATTTCGACCTCTCCCTTCGTTGTGCAGTTAGCCCAATGCTGATCAGGTTGTCTAACCCTGATCCAGAATCACTTAAGAAGTATAACCAAGCTCATAGTGCTCAACAAGCTTGTGTTCAGCCATCCTGCGTGATGCAGCCATCACGCACAGCTCCCACGACATGCTTTGGTCCACGACTGTTTTCTAAATCAAAGAAAGTTCGAAAACCAAAGCTTGAAGTTGTCAACCAGGTCAGCCCATTGCCTGAGCTTATAGCAGAACCTAGTTATGCACGGTCGATGTCATTTGTTGGTACACATGAGTACTTTGGCACCCGAGATTATCAAAGGTGAGGGTCATGGTAGTGCTGTTGACTGGTGGACCTTTGGTATATTCCTATATGAGCTCCTGTTTGGAAAAACACCATTCAAAGGCACGGGGAACCGGGCAACACTGTTCAATGTCATTGGTCAGCCCTTGCGTTTCCCTGAATATTCAGTTGTGAGCTTCCCAGCTAGGGATTTAATATGGAGTCTCCTGGTCAAAGAGCCCCAACAACGATTGGGTTTTAAGCGTGGTGCCACAGAGATAAAACAGCACCCATTTTTGGAGGGTGTGAACTGGGCATTGATACGCTGTGCGAGTCCTCCAGAGGTTCCAAGGCATTTTGACATTGAGAAGCCCCCGAAGCAGCCTGTGTCAACATCTGAGAGTACTGCCCAGAAAGGTTGTGATAACTATTTAGAGTTTGGTTTCTTTTAGGGAATAGGACGAATTTTCTTTGTAGCAATTGGATAAAGTAGGATGTTTGCATCTGTGTTTGCAAATGAATGATAGTTAGAGTTTTGTTCTTGTCAACATGTTTCTATTCTTTAAAATGAACACATGGATGTTTCAATCTGTATTCCTCAACATGTTACAGTGCACTGAGTCAAAATCTTTACCTAGTGTTATATGTAAGATAATCTGCTGCTCCCTCTCTTTGTTTTGCTGCAGCAAGGAGTTGGCAATAGGTCAATCCTGCTGTCCTTGTATCTACTAGAGAGGTATGGCAATAGGCCAACCTAGTAGTGGCTTACCTCAGCGATTACATAGTTGTTGAGGGGCTGATCTCAGCCATGTCCTCTTGTACTAGTAGTAGGTGTACTCACCTTGTATAAATACTCTAGGCATGCAAAGAGGCAACTAGTTCAGTTGCTGCACCTGCAGGCTTGTGCTTGTGCTGTGTCTGTGCTCAAGGTCAGTTCATCTTCTACCTCTAGCCGTGAGTTGTGAGAGTGTGGGTGTGAGTGACCTGATTGCTTACCTCTGCAGGTGGCCGGATTGCCAACATTATATACATATCTCATTTCAGTTATATGCAACTTGTATTTATGATTGTAAGTTCTGGCAGCAACTATTATTCCTTCTCAAGAGGTAGCTAAGTTTGAGTTCTCTTTAACTCGAATTTGGGTGCCTATTTCTTCTTATTTACAATACTATCTAGTTCTTCATAGGTTTGGTTGAGTTTCTTTCTTAGAAAATATTCATTTACAATACTGTCTAGTTCTTCATAGGTTTGGTTGAGTTTCTTTCATAGAAAAAATTCTTTCTCATGCAACATTTCATTTTCAGTTAATACTGATCACAGTTCTACTGTTATGAGCCTATATATTTTATCTCTGCATTATAATGTGTTAGACTGAAGTACTGAACCACTCTCAGTAACAAATTTTGCTAGGTGTTTTGGTTGAAGTAATGCCCTCAACAAACTAACATTATGAACAATAAGTAGCAGTTCCCGGCGCTTATGACTTATAGCAGCATAAGTTTGACAAGACATGGTGGCATAAGAAGCATTCATTTGTCAAGACAACTTACTGGTTTTTCATAATCCCATCCCTAACTTGCAGAAGGCAGCCAAAAAAATCTGCTTATAAATGGGTTGACTGCTGAGTACTGACAGAGCGATGTGTACCTATCCTTCCTTGTCTCAATCAGGTTTCTATCTAGGCTGTCTTCTGGCTACATGAGTAAGCAGTGTACCATTCTTCTGGCTACACATTGAAGTGTTGCCTGCGTTTGCTATTTTGATCAGCTGGAAGTACTAAGCTTTCTTCTGAGGAAGATACTGTCTGGTTTCTCACATGTTTTATCTTGTAATTTTCATGTGTTTTCTGACTTTTTACAGTTAAATACAACTCTTCATTTCATCTAGTTAAGGAAAGGGGTGGAAAGGAAAATGAACTCTTAATCACAAAAAAAACTCACAAAATGCTGAAAGGTTTCCACATATACATGAAAATCTGTTTTTGTACACAAGAAATCAAGAACTTCCAGTAACAAATGCATTGGCAAAAATGATAATCGTACTTATGCTGTCCAATCATGATGCATACAGTGTGCTAGCTCTGAGAAGGGAAATGAAACAGGAACATGACAAATAATCATAATGAGAAACATCTCAGAAACTGTGATTTTCTTTCTCTCTCTGGGTTCGCTGTCTTTTCTGTCACCATTTGCAGCTGTTTTATCATGATTTGGTGTAGATGATGGTGGTGTCGGGTTGTTGGATCTGCTGTCAGGAGAAGGTGACAGTGGTGGTGTTGGATCAGCAGTCGTCTCCATCGTCACCTCTTTGCCATCGCAGATGACCTTGACTTCACAGTAGAGAGGTGCGCTCTTCTGTACCTGTCCTGCTATTGTGGTTCCTCTCTTCAGCTTCCTGTGTTCATTTTGACAGATTCAACATACATTTGCAGAAGTGGCATGCACACAATTTTGTGTCTGTTAATTGAAGGCCTGGTAGACATTACCGCACATTTGACTTTGAAACCCCTAATACTAGCTGTTTAATGTGCAGAACAGGAACAAGTTCGATGATTGCGTTAGCAATTTGATCGCTCTCGATGAGATACACATCAACGGTAACCTGAATATGAAAGGAGTGATATCAAAACTGAAAATTTGTTGAGAAATCAGAATTGGTAACAAACTGGTCCAGCTGCTTACCTAAAATTTGCAGCACTGGTCCAAGAATTTCTGCAGCATCTGTCGCCTCTTTGATCTCTCTTGATTCAAGTAAGTTTCGATCTGCTCTGGGCTTGCTTGGCTCTTAGGCATCATTCCTACTATTTCAGAAATTGACTTCGTCACAAATTACCCTTTGAACTGAATATTGCTTAAACAATCATCAGATGCAGAAATGGGCAGTAACACCTAACACGTACAGAAACTAGGATATCTATATTTTTTTTTGTTCTTTTCCTTTTGTATGTATTAGTTAATGAACCAGCTGAAAGTCTATTTTCATCTTTGTGCCATTTTGTCAAGACTGAAAGGTGGCAGAACGGAATCCTACCGTGCTGATCCTGTTCACACTTCAGTGGCAAGCAGTCTAGCTCTGTTCTGTAGCATCACATCGCATACTATGCGCCCTACTCTGGGGCATCTCATCACAAAGCTACTTTGTTTTTTTGGCATCCAATCCAGTATTCCTGTGTGGTCCACGAATCTCGTTAGCATTCGCTGCCAGGATCTCAAATAATGGATGCATGCATATATGATCTTTTAGAACGGATTCTGAGTGCTTCACTAAAGCGAAACTCAGGTTTTGTTCCTGATCGAACCACAAGCTAGCTTCTGATTATAACCCAAGAATTTCACTGGAAATAGTTTGATTAGAACCCAATAATTTTACAGGAACCATGCTGACCAAACAGATCCCAATCCCATTATTTCTTTGCCAAAGAAAACAGAAAAAAATACAATTAGGAGGCACCTAATGAGGCATAATGGGTGGCCTTGTTGGTGTCTCCGACTCCCATCCCCTACGAGGTCAGCATCAACCGTTTGGAACTTTGCTGCTGCAGCTTTGCGTCGGGGCCAAACCCAATGTATTCTTGGCACAAGAGGTTACAAGGCTCCAAAGGGAACTTCGGCCCGTGACGACGACACCTTTGAAAGTTTCAGTCAGGTGAGCAAAATCTCGAAAACACCAGTGCAAGAACTTAGACCGTCGTCTTCCATCACGACCATCATCATCTTTAGGCTTGTTTGGATGCGCATGTATTTATCTCAATCCACATGTGTTGGATTGAAGTGGAATTAAACTAAGTTCCGTTCTATTCCACTCCAACACATGTGGATTGAGGTGAATACACATGCATCTAAAAATGCATTATTGATTGATTGGCGACCCTAAACAAGACTTTGCTTGCAAATTGCAGCGTTGTCGTCTTACTACTAGTTGTTGCGGTTTTAGCCTTCATTCATTTCACTCTTACTTTTCCATTAGCTAGTGAGCAAACACATTTTGCTCGAGTTGGGTTGAGGAAGAGTGAAGTATATTGTGGCATGGAATGATTGATGTTTTTGAGGCCACAAAGCCTGGCTGTAATCCAAGAATTTCAGAGGAAGCAGTTTGATGGATCCCTATCCTACGCGAGTCAGGGGGGAAAATAGTCCTGTTCCAAACGGAACACTACTAATCACAGGCAATCTGAATGCTATAATCATCGATCAAAGATCATAATTGCATAGGAGTCCTAGCTAATATGTACTACGGAGTACATGTTATACTACTACTAGAAACGAAGATGATGTAACATATGAGGAAGGCCATGAGAATTAAGCAGAAGAGGAGAGAAACCAAGAACTAGATGGCTCACATGGGGTGGGGATGCTGGTGACGACGGGGAAGACGTGCACGAGGCAGACGAAGCTCCGCGGCTTGGTGAGCCGGCGGAGCGCCTAGGACAGCGCCGCCATGCTGGAGCCACCCTTGCCGACCGCCACGTACACGTCGCCGTCGGCACCGGGTGACGCCACGGACTCGGTGGAGGCGGCGACGCCGACGCTCCGCGGCGGCCGATCGTCCGGCTCCAGCTCCTCTATCTCCCACGTGTCGCCGCCGACTGTAACAGAACCGACCAAATCATAAGAACGTAAGTACAAAAACAATCACTGAAGTGATCAAATTCATGTACTTAAGCTCCCATAATCCCGGTAGTCCGGAAATCACGAAGGATTTCAACCAACTCTCGACATACAAACCAAGACCGTAGTGATTCAACACAACACATCATCCGTTACAACATTTCATAAGTAGCATTCGGATTACATCCATCAGAGTGCGAATAAAATATTACAAACCAGGTTCAAATTTGCGGAAGCAACATAGTTTAGTACATAACTTCATAGTTTCAAATACATTGCCAAGTCTGAGTCATGTCCCACAAAAGCATTATCAGGTACGAGAACTAGTAGAGACCGCGCCCAACGGTCTAGTCTTCATCCCCACTGGAGAAGGCAATACTTGCGAAGAACCAAAGTAGAACCGGTCATCCGCAATGTGGAGATAAACCCCGAGTACGAGAAGGTACTCGACTAGACTTACCCGACAAAACCGTAAATAAAAGACACCAAGGATCATGCAAGGCTTATGAGGTGGGCTAGCTTGACACAGATTGCATAAAAGAGCTTATGAATATAGTGACCAATTTAAACTTAGCATTAAGCTTATCATCATTTACCTGTCCACTAGATTACCACCTGTACTAGAGCACTCACTTATTAGGAGCAAACAATATTAACCATAGCAGGTATAATAAGGCTGTCATCATCTTATCATCATTTCCGAACCATTATGTTATTAAGTGTATCTACATTGGAGATAAGCTCGTCAAGTTCTCACTAACCGGGAGAGACGGCGACTCGAATCGAATTACAACTCAAATGAGGGGTATTCCTAACTCTCACCCCAGCATACTTAGCAAGGGTAG